GACCTTTCACACGTACAACCAGTAACCAGTTCTTTAATTAGGCCCTAAACTGTAGGATCTCTTTAATATGCAAAAGTGCAGGCTTTTACCTAGAACAGGGGCTCCCAACCTTTTTCATTATTAGGACCCTCACAATAGATTAACATTAAATAATGGACCCTCAATTTAAGAGGATTATGTCTTTCCCTCTTAGTATTTGTTTTTCTAGGTTTAAAGATAAAAAAGTATTCTAAGTCAATCTGATCAAACTAGGATCATTACAAATCAATAAATCAATCAGAACGGCCAACCATATTTCTTTTCTTGTTTCAATTTCCAAAAAAATTGATAAAACTTCAAATATTATATTCCTCCTTTTGCTGGGGACCCCCCTATAACCCTAACCCCTGTTTCAAAATCACTGACCTAGAAAACAGCAAAACTATGTAGTTTGGTTCCAGTAGAGTAAAAGATTCATTTACTGTTATAACAACCTCTTTAGATGTCACTTCATTGGGAAACTCTTGTTATTTCTTAAGAAAAAGGAAAAACAACAACAAAAACACTTCTAATAAAATTGTGAAGTAGAAAATATGTTTTTCATTCTATTTTCATCCCAAATATTGCTCTTTTTTTGTTGCCGTAGGGACAAACCCGCAGCATGTCCAACTAAACATGATATAATTTCATTGACATCCTAAGTGGGAACTCAAAGATCGAAGTGAAATGTCATGCGTATCACATCGCACCATCAGCAGCACCATAATGACCTGCATGATGGACTGTCAACATTGACTCTTCTCCTCTCATATGGCCCAAACTGCTGTAAAACTAAAGACAACCAGGCCATCAAAGTGTTGTAAACAGATGAAACATCTTCAGCTGCAGGGGGGAATCACTTTGCATCGCTTAATTAGTCATTTAGTGTAGTGAAGGTCGGCTCAATCACAGATTTAACTCACATAATCACAGAGAGGCTGAGGAGGCTGCGCTCGTCTAATGTGATTGTCATTGGAGGGTTATAAAAGGCTGATGACCATCACTCTCTCTTTTAGGAGGCCAAAAATGGTGTTGGTGGAAATGACCGGAAACATAAAATGACTTGACTGTCATGACAGAGTGAGGACTGTGTGTGTATGTGTATGTGTGTGTGAGTGTGATTGGGATGGGCTAGGGTCCAGTAAGAGGGAGGAGGTGGAGATACTCAGCACTGATGATCTGAAAGGTTGATGGTATATAATACAGGGAGATGCAAGCATTGGATAAACGACCAGTCCACTGTGCTGCAGCCTCCAACACACTTGACTCAAGAAAGAAACACTCAAAGACATCGGACGAGATCACAGACAACCAACAGCAAACAGCCGAGGTCATTTCAGAACAAACCAGACCGACAGAGATACACCTCCATACAGACTGTCAGGCATCCAGCATGCGGGCTTTAGTGGTTTTGCCTCTGCTGTTGTGTGCAGTGGTGCATGTGGACCAGGTGAGAGCGGAGGTGAAGGCAGTGAAGCTGTGTGGTCGAGAGTTCCTGAGGGCCGTCGTTTACACCTGCGGAGGGTCCCGCTGGAGGAGATTCCTCAGCGAGACAGACATGGATGGTGATGGTGAGACAACTTCCTCTTTTTATTCTCTAAACAGCAGACATGGTGATAAAACAGTCTAACTTTGTCTTCAGGATTAATCTTATTGTTAGACGTGTGCATACAAGAAAGAATAATGCAGAATATTTGGTATCTGTTTCTAGGTAGATTTAACCTTAAAATATACTTTATATTATACAATTATTATACAATTTTTAAAGTCTCTCTTGAAACAATATTAAATATGAACACTGAAACAGGTTTTGCTGGCTGTAGTGATTCCTCCGGGTCATACTAGCAGTTAAGAGGTCCCCTCCTAATAATGCACTTTTTAAACGCACAAATTTAAAGCTAATATGAGTCTTCAGCAGTCTAAATAAAATGTATCTTCCAAAGTTACAACTTTTTTAGTACTAAAATTCCCTCTTTTTTGTTACCATCCCTCCACTGCAGCTCAACAGGGAAACAAAGATTTAAAGACTAAAAAGGCTGCTGTAATTTCCAATTGATTTCCAACTGCTGATGTCTCATTTTACCTTCAGAAAAAACAGAATAGAATATATAAAAAAACAAAAAAATATATTTCTGTGATGACTATGGATTTTGTCCTTCATCACCTACATTGGAAGCAAATTAGGAATGGATTTCTTAATGGCCAGGGCAAATCAACAGATTACAGTCAGAAAAACCTGTTTCAGTGTATATGGGCACCTGACTATTGTTTCGAGACAGACTTGTAAATTTATCCTTTAAATTATTTTGTGGTGGATGTACTGCACACCACAGGGTTACCTAGACAGGTAGAATTTGTACAATTATTAGGATATTACTTATCAGAATCAGATTTAAAGTCATAAATACCGTTGTTACTACTCACACAATCTTAAAGAATATAAATAATACTTATATTACAATATCTAACACAATAATAGTTACTACTATCTATTTTCTACTATTTTTCTCTCTTTTCCTTCTCAAAATATATATTGAGCTCAGTGAGATTTCCTGAATAAATACCTCTTAACATGTTTCCCCTTTTTGGTTTTGGTTGATAAAATCAAACTACAGTATACTGTGAAATATTTCCCCAAAATTCAGCCTGACGTCATATATATTTTCAAAAACTTTGGCATCTCCACTTGAATTTAAAATAAAATTATGTAGGTTGATTTTTGACCTTACTTTCAGTGACTTTGAAACTTTTTAACTGCTGAATAACATTTTTTGCATGTAAGATATCATCCCTCAGAGTAAAACACAAAACAGTTGTCTGAAAGCTAGTGTTTCCCTTGTATCTGCTATGGCTCTTGCTACATGATGAACTATGTACTATTAATTCAGTGGGTGTGCAGGCAGACAGGTGCCCTAGTGCAGAGACATTGTCTGCTGTTCTACCTTATTAGGCTCGAGGAGCCCACATATCTTGATTAAATGTTGCAGCAGTCTGTTCCCCGGGCAGTCTCTCTTTCATACTGTCTGTCACACACAAACAAACCCAGTTAGCCTATCAGCCGCTCTGATTAAAAAGAGTAAAGTGACACTGTAGAAGACAAATGGCACTGAGTTAATCTGCGCAGTCATTTAGAGTTTCCTTATTTAATGGGGACACAGACATCAATTACACAAGTCTTTGTTCATCCAATAACCTTGTTGGAAACAACTGTGAAAGAATCACTATGGAACAAATTGACATTTGCAGAGGAAAACTGTGTGTGAACCTGGTTATTGGACTAAATTAGGACAAAAGTTTTTTTTTTTATGTCAGAGTGTTTCTTTAGCATTTTCTGTGTTTTGTTCCAGGTTTGCCCGCAGGGGAGCAGAGCAGTTTGGAGAGCCTGAGCAGCAGCAACCCAGGCTCCCGGTTGACCAGACGGGATATGAATAACATACTGACCACTGTGTGCTGCCAGGTGGGCTGCAGGAAGAGCGACCTCACCTTCCTCTGCTGAGGCCAACGCCTCTCTTCTTCTCATTCTCCAAGTGGCCAAAATGACTCTGTTCTCTCCCATTTTGCTTTAGTAGAAACCAAACCTGAATCCAAATTCTGATGTTTAAAAACAATATGATCGTTGTATTGTATATACAATAATGCTCATATTCACAACTGCTATTTTTCTAATTGCTTTTGATATTTTTTGTGAGTTATTACTTTAACTTGTAGGTTTGTAGATGTGAATGTGAATGTTTCTGAACCTGAGAAGATACGTGCAACCATAAAAATACATGTAATTATATTATAAATAAACCTATGAAAATAAGGTAACAAAACTATGTTGGGTAAGCTACATATATGTAAATGCACTCAGGGATGATATTCAAGGGTGCAGGACTGCATCACTTCCCACTCAGACTAAGTAAAGAGAGGACAGATGTCTCTCAGCCCCGGGCTTGTGTCCTGTATGTAGACATGTATCCACAGGATGGCAGGTTTGTAAAATTTCCATCTCTGCTTTAATGTATTTATAGGAAACTTGAGCTGTACTCTATCATTTCGCATTTTATTGTCAAATAAATGTTCATGCACAGGGCTTACATTCTGTGAGGTGTGAAATATTTTTTATAATTGCAGTCCTGGACACCGGATACCGAACATTACTAACTTTCAGGAAACATAAGATAAGATGTTCCTTTATTGATCCCCTGTAGGAGAAATTCAAGTTAGGCACAGCCTAGAAAGACCCTTATAACATCACATCAATGATTGACAAAAAAGCCATAAAAAGGAACCTGGTGGTGGCATCTTGCCTTTTGTTGCTCCTTGTCATCTCTTCACTGTCGACTATTCAATAAAGGCATAAAATGACCCCCCACATAATTAAAACATTAAAAGGTCTACAGCAGCTCTGTGAAGCTGTACATTTCACACACACATTCTGGCTGTAGTTTGGCTTATGTACATATTTTATATCTGTCATTGTGGATTTAATTTAGGCAGTAATCACATAAACTCAATAACAACTAGAGTCTGTGCTATACATTAGGTTCTACTTATAGGTACGCATGCTGATGTTACAACACAAAGGCTTATGGGAGTGTCATTACTTTTGCAGGAATCTGGTCATAAACTAAAGTATTAAACAAATTACAGTTAAATAAAAAACAAAAGTAGAACACATCTGGGAAAACACATTTCTGTACTAAAGTTCGTGCTAATTTTCTCCGATATTTTACAAATAAGTGAAAACTTTTACCTGTGGGTGGTAATAGATGGAAATTCAGAGGTTCCTTCTCCAGGGACTGTTGGTATAAAAGTTGTGGCAATCTACCCAATAGCTGTTATAGATATTTATGAGACATTTCTGGCCTGCAGACAGATCCAAGCTACTAGTATGTCTTAAAAAGAAAAATACAGTCGGACCACTTTTTGTATATATTCGTGAGAAAGACTAAATCATACAGAATCTTATAATACAAATAAAACTGCAAACGCAGACATCCAGTTATAACTTTTATTGGTTTTGGAAAGAAGCAAACTAAGTTTCTCAGTTCATCTTAGCATTGTTATGTACTGTACAAACAGCTTGCACATGTGTTTGAGGTTAACGGTACAGAACCAAAAAGCATTCTGGCGTATAGCACACATAAACACACTCCCTGCTCTCTTCTCAACATTAATACAGGTAACTGACACTCAGCACAACACGTCATTTCAGTACTATCATCATAGATGCCCCACCTTTTACTACATGCTCTGCATGCAATAATGAATTACTGCAGGCGAATTCACCACAGAGATGAAGATCTGTAAAATACAAGTTGTTTTTAAAGTTTTTAACGAGATACAAAGAATAAACTGGCACTAACAGACTGAGAGTCAGTTTTGTACGGCAGCATGACTTTCGAGCTGAAAGACATGTAATCTGTAGTGTACTGGTAATTTAAAACAGATGCATGATGGGGGATGTGTTTGGTGGGCCTCTGTAGATAATGCTGTAGTGACTGTTGCACTGATAGTTTCAGGGTTCACTCAGCAGGTTACAGCTTCCCATCAGCCATGTCAATCCATCCAGTTGACCATAGGATCATGGCAGGACTGATCTGACTGAAAGGAAAATGTTACCAACCTAATGCGGGAGCTAAATGGCACCAATCATCATCACCTTGCATTAACAAATGAAATGCAACCTCAGAGTAATCCACAATGCTCTTTTAGACCGAGTCTGCACAGGAATAATCTGGTAAATCTGGTTAAAAACAAGATTTATATTTGAACTGCACAGCTCATGTCTGGTCTTTTTATTAGCCAAATAACCGCATACGTTAAAAAGTATGTCCGATCAAAAGTACTCACTATCATTAAATAGGAATATCGACATGTTGCTAATAAGTCTTAAAGTCCTAAATTCAGCCTAAAATGCTTCTACGACAGCTCTGAAAGGACCATGATTGGTTGCATTTAGCAGAATGCCGACATATAGTACAGTACAGAGATCTTCAGCTACACTTCACACACACTTTTTGTTCTTCATGTTGAGTGTCAGAGCATTCAGGAAGTTCAACATCATCAGCACAGTGTTTTTTACACATTAAACAATATAATATTTTTTCACTTTTATCCGTTTTAAAAATATTCAGCTTATTCTCCTTAACAGAGGACTGACTGTCCGGGGTACACACACATAAGATACAAAAAAAAAAAAAAAAGAAAAGAAAAGAAAAGCATTTTGGTCAACTTAACCTTGCTCCACAACCTCATTCAGCTCATGTCATCTCACAGAGACCATTACAATTATGCGAAATAAAGCCATGGATTCAAGCGCTGGTTTGATGATCGGGGTGTGCTCATGATACAGTCAGGGAGTTAAAGTACCACTGAGGTGAATGGAAATGGGTAAGAAAACAGGTCAGACGCGGTCAAAGTTGAGGAATAACTCAATCAGTAGATGTGGGAACTGAGAATGCTGGATTAGTACAAGAGTGTTTTCTTTCTGTTTTATGAGGTTTGAATTAAAAAAACAAACAAACAAACACACAAAAAAGATGGTCCCAGTAAACAAATCCTACTCCAGTAGTGGTACCACGGTCACTAAACTTCATCACTGCTGTTGAGGAAACCTGATTGCTTTTGTTGTCATCGTCTTGACTTTATTAAAAGGACAAGTTAAACTATTTGGGAAACATGCTGACTCATTTTCTTGCTGAGAATTAAAAGAGAAGATTGGTGCCACTTTATGTCAGGCTGTTGAGCTGGAGCCATGAGGCGGTTAGCTTAGCATAAAGACTGGACACAGGGGGAAACGGTTAGCCTGGCTCGGTCCAAAGCTAAACAAGGGTTTACGGTCAGCTAGCAGCTCTGTGAGGCAATACTTAGCTAAATGCTAACCTTTTCACAGTGGAAAAGACATTCATTTTGCAGGAAGTCATAAGCCAGAATACTGGACAAGGGGGACATGAATGTGTGTACCAAAGTTTATGGCAATCCATCCAACAGTTGAGACATTTCAGTCTCAACCAAACTGACAACACTGCCATCTAAGCTGCTAGCATGGTTAAAAATCTGTCTACCCCACCACAACAGCTCAAAAAATTAACATGTTTTATCTTGTCAACCCCCCGTAAAAACAACAACTTGACATTTTTACACTTTACAAGATGTAATGTGTTAATTAGGGAACCCTAGAAATGCCCGTAAGCAGATTTCTTACCCTCAGACAGAGCACTAGCTGTTTCCAGTCTTTATGCTAAGCTAACGTCTCCTGGCTCCAACCTCATGTTGAACAGAACAGACAGATAAAAGCGATATTGATCATCTCCTTTAACAACTCGAAAAAAGAAAACGAATAGGCCCGTTTCCCAAAATGTCAAACTAGCTCTTTAAAGTGTGGACCTTGCCCATGGTACAGCTAACTCTACATTAACACTGCTTTCACAAAGCATAACACAGCATCCAGGAAGATATTTATCTTTTTCTTTAAATTACCCCACCCACCCATATATAGCTCAAATCTTCTGTTGCACTTGAGTTAAAAAATTATATCTGAAATAAATTCAAAAATTATACCTTATACTGTACACAGGTTACCCAACTACACAGATAACAAAAAAAAGAGTTCAAATATTTATACCTTTAAGGGTTCTGAGTTGTGTGATACCATTCAAATTCTATTCGTATACACAATCACGTTTTATACAACAAATCATCGTCATCAATAAATAAAAATAGAATGCTGTCATGTACTCTGGAGTCTATCACTGCTGTCCTGGGAACAACAGAAAGGCTATCTGACAATACGAGGAAAACACCAAACGCCCTTTAAGATATATATTATTGATTTAAAATGACACTGTACACTTCTTTTGTTCTGACGGGAAAACATATTTTCTTATTTTGCAACCAGTACATTGATTTATCATTGCAGCTGCCTAACTGGCTAAAAACTCTCTCCATGTCTCTATATTCCAGAGAAATAAAATAACAGATTGATTGACTGATCAGTGCATTTATATTAAAAAGGATGTGATCCAAAGTCATGTGACCCTGTAGTACCAGTAGGTGATGCATGAAAACCTAGTATTTTTGTAGTTACTCGATCCTGTGTTGCATTCGATCGCAAACAAGCAACAAGAAACATCTTTCATTTAACTCTTTGCGACAGCATGAGTCGAAACGCTTCATTAAATGCTTTTACTTGCTGGCAAATGGCCGCCATCAGAGCGAGACAGTGAGGACAGCTGTCTCTGGCTTTGAGATTAGACTCCGATGGAAGGATTATTTACAGAGCTGATTTATTTATTTTTTAAATCTGCTAATGATTTATAACTTGTTATGAATTGTCCTGGGCCATGCTTCAACTTTAACTAGTCTAACTTTGGACCTGTCAGAGGTTGAGGTGTGTGTCTGACCACTAAGATCGTATTCAAGGGTTGTTTTTTTTACTGCCAAATCTCTAGACAACAAATAGTCATCCAGAGTTCAAATCCGTCCAAAACGCTTTCTGTCCATGTCTTCGGTCAGGCAGCTGCAGTGAAACTTTTAAAAACAAAAACACACATCGACCCAAGGAAGATGGAGACAGAGGTACAGACTTCAGAGGGAGGAAGAACCCAGGTGTCTAACTGCAGCAATACGGATGTTATGAAATGAATACAAATACGATAATTACATGACCTAAAACAGCTCCACGATGCTATATGCAAGTTATACAATACTGCTGGGTAGGCTGCGGACCTGTCGTGTGGGTTCAGAAAAGGTTAATGGAAAGTCTGCCTGTTGGTTTGTCCTCTGTCCTCGGTGTCAACCTCAGTTCACTGCGATTGTTTTGTTCAACACTGCTGCTCTCAGTAGCATGGGTTAGTTGTCGGCCAGGTATTTTCCTGAAACGCATCAACCAAATGTTTAGGTTATGTTTCAGTCGTTTACGGATCTTTTACAGATCTATTGTTAACCTAAGACACAGTTACTACAGTAAGTACAAGCTGTATCATTACAAAATGATGGAGGTAATTACAATTATCTGAATGAATATAACAATAAATTAACACATACTGTAGCACAGAAATATCTTGTGCAAGAATAAGATAAGAAAAATCTTTTTTGGCTGCACTTTGGGATAAAAATGTAACTTAGGAAGGGTTTTGTTGTAAAAAAAACCCCATCAGTTTACAAAGGTTTGATTTACAGGAGGTTTTACTTGAAAAATATCTCAAATATGTTATAAGTGAAATGTTAACTGACCTGCGGCAAACCTCTTCTTGATGAGAGAGAAGCGGTATCCTGGCCCAGCCAGTTCAATGTCACAGCCTGACAAAGTGCTCCCCTCACTGGTGAACTGCACCGCCAGTGGAGCCGGTTTACTGGGGCCTTCTGTTAGCTGAAAGCGTGCTAACAATGACCCCACACCTGTGGGAAGAGGGGCGAAGTTTAGAAATTGTTGGCCACAAGGAATGATTTAACTAAAGGAATAAGGATTTTGTCGTGCATTGTAAAAAAAACAAACAGCAACTATTTTAAATAGATAGCAGAAAGATATGCTGGTAACAGCTAGACAACTACAGACGTTGCTTTAATTAACTTTTCATCAACAAAATATTACCAAATTGCTATTGTATAGAAGCCTGTCAAAATGTTTGCTCAAGAAAACACTGACTGAGATTCATTTTGAAAAGAAAATTACAAATCATCCGAGACTATCAAGATCAACCATATGTAAGGCAAGATATATTACATTATCATTGCATGTTCGGAAGAAGCAGAGCTAAACTGATCAAGTTGGAGCCTCATAAAGAAAATATATGATCTAATTTACTGTCCTTCTGGAGGCCAGGTAATTACTAAGAGTCTACAAATATGATTTGTAATATATCAAAACAGGCCAACAATTTAAAGTACATCAGACGATGTCAGATGCACAAATAAAACTCTGCTTTAACAGCTGAAAATATTTGTAAATATTATTTTGCTGAAGTAACTGTAACACCGTTTGTAGACAGAAGGGGGCACTGTTGGCAAAGCTGGCAACCACCTTGGACCTCATCTTTTCCTGAGGTGGATCATGTACTACTTTTTTCCCCCCATAACCTGTTTAGCTGCATTCATGGTTCCTAGTGCAGGTTCTAGGTCAGTGTTTAAAACTGTCCAGCTCTACATGCCTGCAGAAACTCACAATACACAACTCAGGTAAGATAAGAACAATGTCTAGGCTGTATGTAATTTGTAACCTTAACATCTTTCTACCGTCTAGCTCTTATCTATGCTTGTCTTATCTATGTTGTCTTATGCTTATCTTATCTATGTTGTCTTATGCTTATAGGTACAGAAACCTTTTACCAGGGCTATAGATAATTCTCTAATTTCTAAACATGTAGGACTAACTCTGAAAACCAGTTCAGTCTTCAGGTTGATGCAATCTAAGTTACTCTTCAGTCAGTTAAGATGTACAAGAAAAATCTTGATCAGGTGTCCAAATATGTGATGATATATATCAGTCAAGGATTATGTCTGATTTTTATAAACATGAAACTAAAAGCAAGACACTCGCATCAGTCACCAAAAGGGTAAAGCCTTTGCCCTTAAAGAATATTAATATAACTAAAATGGTGTGTGTTACTTTTCTATTACTGTACGTACCTCCGTTTTCAGATTTCTGTGAGATATCGGGAATCTTCCAAAGGATTCTTTGCTGCTCTGCATTCCTGTCCGGATTACAAGAGGGCAGAAAAACCCATTTATGAAGCTTCTGAAGAACAACTCAAATTCAAACCATCTTCTTCTACTATATACACCTGTGTTATAGCAACAATTCACAGAAGTGTGCACTTTACACTAATCATTTGTATGATTTTAATACAAGCATTTCCATTTTTTTACAGTCAAACATTTTAAGTAATTTAAGTGATTTCTGTAATTCTTGATATATCCATTATATAATACAGTAGTTTACAAACTGTATACTGCCTAGTAATCTTACTGGTACTTATCACTATAACAAAGTTCAGACTGTACCATGCAGCAGGAGGTAAGACTGCCTGTAGTTTCGAAACCCCTCCATCGACAGGGACGAGAAACTGGACATTGTTGAGGGCCATCGGCGTCGTCATGGCCTCCCCGTTGTACTTGTAGTCTATCCGCAGGTCAGTGCTCGTGGGCTCACACCTCCAGCTCACCGCTAGATTCAGAGGAATCGATTGAAGGCCCTCCGCCGACACCTGCACATAGATAGAAAACATGCAGAGGCACAACTTATAATAATGCCAAAGCATTTCGTCCAACACAACATCAAGCTGTTCCTACAGTTCATTTAAACACCGCCAAAAAAAACACATGATCAGTGGGCAAATGGCCTTTACACTTAAAATAGTGCATAAAGATTTATGGGCTGCTGTGCAACTTTATGCCAGAGGGCAGAGCTTACTTGATACTTGAGCATGTCCACGTTGTAGTATGTTGCCTGTGGCTTCTGCTCTGCCACCTTCTTTAAATGTGATATCAGGTTTGGCATGTTCACCCAGAAGTCCTTGGCATCGGCCTTGGGTTGTGTGGTGGTGTCGCTGGTGGGGAAAGCATGCAGAAAAGTACAATCAAAACACAGACATTTAATATGATTCTGGTGATTTGTGATAGAGTGCAGCTCTATGTTTGACCAGAAAAACAAACACATTTTTGAGTATTTAATGACTTTAGAAATGTGCAACTTTGAGTTTCACTGGATGAGTTTGACCTTTTTGGTCAGAATTTTAATTTTAACAACGAGCCACAAGAGGTCAGGCTTTACATTGATTTTTACAACAACTATGCAGGATTTAAAATAAACATTTAATGGATGACTTCTAGAAATTATTTATATTTGTGATGAATTATAATTAAGTAAAAGCAATACTTATTCTGCTGGCAATATACTTTCAGTGCCAATGAGTAATGATTTGGGTTAGCTTATAAACATTAAAATGTGTTTCATGGGTCTCAAGTAAGTGGTTTCTTTAGTATTTTTCAACAGGTACAAACATGAATCAAAAATGTAATTTAATTTTAACCGAGGACGATAAACAAACAAACCAAAAAAAAGCCGACCTTTGTTGAAGGTAGTTGGTCTGAAAACTGAGATGACCTCATAATGACTCAATACGCAGTCAGCACTAGTGTCTAAGATGATCTCACTAAAGTTTACTCATCCTCACTGGTCATCACTGAACAACCAAACTCTTCCATATGGGATTATGAATGCTTTATGAGCCATTTATCAGATCATTTTGTCAGTTTACATCTTAATTCCCAATACAGATATATGTGCAGAGTCATATCTAAATCTCTGCTAGTTTTTTGTAGATATTTTATTTATAAAACACATCCTCGTGTATGAAATGTGCTATATAAATGAAGTTTGCTTCATATAACATACCATTAAGTGTGATAAGTAGGATTTGTTGTGTGGAAACAATAATTTTTACAACGATGAAACACACTATGATTATTATGAAAAATACAGGATGAATGGAAACAAACAGTTGATAAAGAGTCTGCTTTGACTGACATTTACACTTACACAAATATAAAAAAGGTGGTGACTCATTTTGATTACACGATGCAACATAAAGGAAATTAATATTATTAATACAATTTAAGTAAGATAATTTGATTTGGTTTGAATTAAGTTAAATTATAAACACTCATAATTAATTAGGGTGAATTTCCAAACTGAACAATAAAACATTCAGACTTGAGCTACACATGTGAGAAAGATGCAGTAAGTTATGATGTTATCTTTTAAACTGCCTCCAATGAAAAACTGTTTTTTGTTTTTTTTTATGACAGTGAGGTGAGGTTACGAGTTCACAACGGTGTCATTACCAGCAGAGGAGCAGGGGGTTAGGCAGCACATGCTCCAGTCGGCTGTAGTTGGTTATGCTGAAGGTTAGCACGGCGGGGGACGGGTTATTGGCAAAGTGCCGCGTGATTCCTGCTGGAAACGACAAAACCATCTCACCTATGATCTTCACAACACACCTGAGAGGAAGAGGAAGACAAGGATTGGGTTAGAGAAACAGAGAAGGTAAAGACTGGAGAAACAGATACTGCACATATACTGTACACATGTATTTTGTTGATTTCTCAGTTTTTCCTCAATGTGTTTTCTCGTCACCTCCGTCTCACATTTCAACCAATCACATGCCGCCAGACTCCGAAACTAGCAAGCTCAATAACTGCTATCAGAATTAGCCAGTTAGCTCCTGTTAGCAAGGACAATAACAAGTACACATACAACTAACCTCTTGTTGTTGTTGTTTTGCATAACCAGTAACTAGCTAATACTAGGCAGGATTGTCAACTTGGATTATTGTTTAGCAATAAAGTGAAGAAACAGTTAAGTAGCAGTGATTAGCTGGAATGTGAGAGGGTGGTAAATGGAGGGTGGTAGTTTGAGTAATTCAATCATTTTACAAAATGTTGGTTCATTTACATATTTTACAATTTCTTCCTACCTGTGAATAATGTGTACATGTAAACTGTTTATAACATCTTTAAAATGCTCTACAAGATTTGTCCATGAGTATAAGGATACTTATATGATTGCAGCTATGTCATTCATTAAGTGTTCATACATGCGTTGTGGATGATTCATACTGTAGGAGAAGTTAGAATTGTTACAGTGTTACCATCTCTTTAAGTACCAGTACTGCTGTATAAACTGAATGAACACACTCTTTTCACATAAGCCACATGAATTTGGTTATTTCTACTGTAATAAGTAATGACATGTATGTCAGATATGTTAGCATGTGTGAAGCTATTTGTTGACCTACTTGCTGGGATCAGCTCCTTTAAAGAAGGCGTTGACCGTCTCTGTGAATGCAGCCGCCACAGGAAGGGTATCCTGAGCCCCCATGGTGAGAGGACTGGGCCCTCTGGAGCAGCCTGGAGGTAACACAAGCATTCAGACACACAAACAGACATTACAATAGTAGAATAGGGCGAGACACACACATAGGGATCTGAACTGAATTCCACATCAATGTACAGTAGCTTCAACCCAGTGTAAAATACCCAGCAGTCAACAGGGGGTTAAAAGATTAGGAACCAGGACTCTACACTTCCTAACCAATAGTGTGAATGAAATGAGGAACAACACATGGTGTGCAAACTACTGTGATTAAATGAAAAACTATTTGAAATGAAAACATATATTGGTGTTAGTAAGGTGACATGGAAACAGAAGGTTATGTGCGTAGAGGATACCCATTTCTCTCTGCTCTTTGACTGTGAAATTGTAGAATTAAAGACAATTACTTCAAATATATCCCTCAAGTGTATGAATTTGTCTACACTAGGTTACACACTGGCATCTGCTTTTAACTGAATAAGCACAGGTAGAGAAGAAAGGAAAGACAAGAAGCAGACAGAGTGAGAGACAGAGATGTGCATGCTTATTCCAGACATGCTGTTAAAGCTGAATTATTCTGACAAGATCAAAAAGACCAGACAGTCCAAGAACCAAAGGACCAATAGGACAAAAGTGACGACAAAGACATAAGTAAAGCACATGAGGAACGATGATTCTTCAGGGACTGAATGGAAGGCGGTCAACGCAGACGAAATGAGAATGAACAATGTCAGGAAGAGAAGGTAGAGGAAGGCAAGACTGCAAAGTTGACTGCATATAAGGGGGCTCAGCCAGGAGTTAGCATGGTGCTGGTTAGGGTGATGGAGAGATTGCAAAGGAGGAAGAGGAAGAGAAGGGAGGGAGGAAGGAAAAAAAGGGAAGGGGAGGGGCGAAGCTTGCACAAATGAGCCTCATAAGCGTGTGTGTGCACTCTACCCTTGTGCAGAGAAAACTTACCTTCAAAGGTTAAATAAAACTTCCCTCTGTCAAACCATACAAGGGATGGCTGGTCATTCTCTGTGTGGGGTGGAGGGGTGGAGGAAGGAGGGAGGCGGGGTTGGGAGAAAGGTACGAGGAGGAGGGAGGAGGAAGAGGGATGGAAGGGAGGGAAGTGGGTGAGGAGGGGTGAGAGGGGGAAGGAGAGAAGGACAGTAGCGTGAGTCTCGCATGGCAGGTCTATCACACGTCACAGTGAGGTGAAAAGTGGAGGTGGAGGCCGGGGGGACGAAGAGGGGACAGAGGGCCACGGCAAGCCGAGATAAAACATGTGACAACACGGGTTTGAAGGGATCTTTTGTGGGTGCTTGCGTGCGTGAAGACAGATAGGAGTGAGCTGGAGTGAGAGGCCAGGTGTGTGCTGCTGGATGTTGGCAGTGGTACGAATCAATATGCAAGATGTGCATCACAGGTGAGAGGAGGTCGGGGGTGTACAGTCTGACAGGGGGACTGCCGTAAGAGACAGTTTGGTGTGTTGCCAGTTTCAGGGGCTGCAGCTAATATTTTCTCTACAATGAAACATAATAAAATCATAATTCCACTCCAACAGATGCTCCAATTATAACCATTTAGGTAGCAATAGGAGTCCTTGAAAAACTGGCCCTACTTTCTTCATCAGTGGCAGATTGTTGATATTGGGTTTATCTTTCTCAGGCTTACTGTGCTCACATTTTCCTCCAGGCCTCCACTTTTCAAATTATGAAACAGATGGAAGCACACTGCTGTATAAAGACACACTGCAGGGGGCAGCCATGAGACTAAGACCAGAGAACAGGCAGAAAGAGGGAGTGTGGTTGGTGCACAGAGAGATGCTGCGTCCCAATTCCGGGGGCTGGATCCTCCAGAGGACCAATGAAGGTGGATCCTTCAAAAGACCGAAAGGTCAGCCCCTAGCTCTACAAATGAGACAGTCTAGCCTCACAGAGACCAAAAGAAAGTGCATTCAGACAGTCCTGGTTAACTGTCATTCCAAGTTTATAACAAATAGATTTCCCTCAAACAAGAGCTAAACATGGATAAATTGGCTGGGCTGATATATGACAATATTAGTTTACTGTGCTATACCTCAAACAGCAAGCAATATGCAGGAACCAGGGTTGAACTCTTAGACTGGTTTCTGGGTTTAGTATATATGTTGGTTACTTTCCCTTCAAAACATGATGGACAACTGGTAAAAAGTGTACCAAGAGGGGCACCCTTTGTGGCCTCATGGTTGGGACTCAAACGATGTATGCAGAGTCAAAACAAACTGTGTCCAGACAGTTTATCACCAAGAAGTTGTCCGCAAATGGCTGACAAAACAAGCTCCTCGGTTTAGAGTAATTGTTGATTCAGTTTACGTATGACGGACAACAGGCGAAAAAAGGATACCATGTTAATGGTAAGCTATATATGTTAATACATCTTTCATTTTACAGTAGCACTCTTTGGGTAACATGTCCATAAAATTGTGACTTGGATTATGTTATTTAGACCCTGCAGTGTACAAATGGAGGGCAAATGAAAAGGTAGATTCAAAAAGATACATTTATCAGTAACAGATGCCCACCTCAGTACACTTTTTTAATAAAATGTGAAAAGGATTTTGTACTTCATGACCTTATGAATTTATGAGCCTACGATAGATTGTCCGAACACTCACTGAACAATGCGTTTTGGCAGTTGTTCCCAACCTGTGGGTCAGGATCTCCAAAAAGGGTTTTGGGATTATTTTAAGAGGTCATGAGATGAATAAAGTGCTTAGAGAGAAAACATTTTTTATTTCTTCTACAGATAATCATGTTTTCTCTAATAATCCTAATAGCTTACACATTGCAAGATCATTATATGTCACACTGCTAAATTGCACATACCCTAAACATTATTTTGTACATTCCTTAAAACTGTGCACCTCTTTATTTATTTATTTAAAAATGGTTATATTGTGCATATTGTATCTTTTTATATTTGTACATATTGGCTCTTTTTATTGTCTCTATTTTAATCTTTATTTATATTTCTCTATATTCATTGTTACACACAAATTCCTTGTATGTGAAAACCTACTTGGCAATAAACCCAATTCTGATTCTGATAATCAATTTTTCCTTGTAAAATACTGGATAGTTTCAGCCTCTTGGGAACATAATACATAATTTGAACAACAATTTGAAGCAAAAATTATTGCGGCTTTGTTTTAAGGACACAAAACAAAAAGCTTGGGAATTGGTGGATTACAGGATGTTTCTGTCCTTCAACTCTGACCAAAAGAAGCCCTCACTTCTCAGTTGCATTTGGAGCAACCTTTTAAAAGAGACTTTCCTGGATGATCATCGTGAGATTGGTCAATTCATACTTTGGAGGATCCAGCCCCTGAACTGGTATACCAGGGATTGTTGATTAATTATGATTGTCTAAATAACTATTATATGGGACATAAAAATGCAACAAACACATAACTCTTTCCAACGACAAATGTGTGCATTTAACTCATGTCAGTGTTTCAGTTTGATACAAAAAACCTGGCATTCAACCTGGCAGAGCAGGGTTAGCTTGTTCTAGTCTATATTATTGTGTTGATGTGGGGGTCCCAGCCGTGAAGGTGTGTTGTTGACCAGTGAGTGGACTAACAGAGCGCTGGGTGATGGAATGATCAGAGCAGTGCTTCATGAAGAGAACAAAAGGGCAGGTGTTCAGACGGAGAGGGCGGGGTTTGGGGCCGCATTTTTGTATGGCTGAAGAGTGCGAGAGTGACAGGTGCGAAAGGTGGGCGTCAGGGGTCGAGTGTGGGAGTAGACTGAGGCTTTGAGGCCAGTGGAGATTGGTTGAACTTGTGGCTGTGTCGTGCTACTCCAGTAGAGAGAAAGATGGCATGAATACCAAACAGCTGCTGCCTGACTAATTCAGCCTAATTCTCATGCCAGACTTCAAACGACCGTGTGATCTGACAGTATGCGTGAGAGTGTGTGTTTGAGGGTGTGTGAGAGAGAAAAGACAGACAATATGGATCTCAAGGGCCCACCTATAAGGAGCTCTTCAGACGTGCTTAATGAACACACAGCACATAAACACTTGAAACACACTTTTGTGGTGCAGACTGAGAGTAAAGGTATCTGGGAGTGACAGTACTGCACTCTGCACACACAATATTGGTCGCCAAGAGAAGAGACAGGAGGTTGCCATGGTGACATGGCGAGACAGTCATAAAACAGAGAGAAAAGTCTCACGAGCAGGCAGATGGCCAAATGGGAAGACACTCAAACTTTTTGTAAAAAATAAAGTTATGCAATAGATGGAACTTTTTGTGTCACCACAGCTTTAATTTTTTTTCTGGCAGATTTTTTCTGTGGGTGAATGAGAGAGAGTACGATATGAGAAAGAGGGGCTATCAGTTCTATTAAATGCTTGGGAGATGCGCAAGGAGTCATGAGTTGGCAGTAACAAAACAATGAAGAAAAATGACTTTCAGTGAAAAATGCTGCCTTTGAAAATAAAATAAAAAATGTGGTATGTCCCTACATCTGTGAGCAAAACCTGAAAACCTGAGACTAGTCAAATAAGTAGGTATTGGGAGAGTGACACAGATATGGTCTTTTTGTACATCTCACAAATTGAGATGCATTTTATTTGAAAAATTGACATGAGGCTTAGAAACAGGCTTTCTAAAACTGTGCCAAAATGTGGGACAAAAGACCCCCCCCCCAAAAAAAAAGTCTCACTGTCCCAATACCTACACCTTTTGACTGACAATCAAAAAAGCACAAAAACACTCAGAGATGGCCTTTACCCTTCGATGTCAAGTGCACTCTGGGTAAAGAGCATCAAACATCAAACTGACACAGGAACAGTCCTCAAACCCCTTTCCCATCCCGTCCCCTTTCCTCTCTTTGAGGGGATCGTTACTATACCTGCGAATGAATCAAAGTGTCTCTCAAAGGTGGGTAGTTTGTCTACATAAGCATCGTCTTCTGACAAGCCAAAAGGACAAATAAAGAGACAAACGGTAAAAAAAAAAGAAACAGAAAGGAAAAAATAATAATTTAAAATAAAAATCAGAAAAGTATTTGTCATGCACACAAAAACGAAACTGTAAAAAAATAAAGCAAAAAAAGCACAAACTGGAATGGGTCAGTTTAAAATGAAAACTGTCTCTCACTTTTATATTACTGTCAGTAATAGAGACAATAAAATCTCTGTACAGAAATAATATTTTGTCATGTTATGGTCAAACATTCTAGTGAAGCTGTTTACTTCTTGTTTGTCCCTGCAATCTGTTTAAAAAAGCATCCTCCAACGAGGGACTATATTCTGTTTTTATGTAACTGCTGCTGCCTCCAGAGTGTGTATTTTCTAAATCTATTATGACTCAGCCATGTTACAGTCTACTGAGATTTGCTATTATCCACTCACAGCTCTGCATGGCAAGGTCCACACTGGCGCTCAAGTTAAATCAAGGAATATAAACTGTTGCTGTGCCATTAATTCATTAAGGGAAGGTTTGTGCTTAAAAAATATCACCCTGCTTCACATTCTCACCTCCCACACATACTGCGTTGTGTATGTGAGAATGTAATTATGAATTCTGTCTGTGTGTCAACCTAAACCAGACACAATATTTATGTGCAGTTTAACAATTCATTGTAACAAAATGATCTTTAGGAGTACTTCATTCCTATTTTAAATGAATAGAAATCCAGATACAAACGATTGTAGTCATGTTTTACATATTTGTTTCAATCAATGTCCAGATGGTAAAAGCTTACATGGGTTTTAGGGGATGCATGATAATTAGATGCCAGAACAGGTTTTGGCATTGTATTGCTGATATTCATCGTTTAGTGGACCATCATTGCCACGAAACAGTCACCATTTCCAGAAAATAAGACAAAAGTAAATTTAAACATGAATAAAAAAATACACACAATCTCTGAGCACAAGGAAGGACAGGGCCAGTGCATAAAATCAATAAGGAACTTTTAATATTAGACAGGAACAGTTAAATGCAGCTGTCACTGCTGTGACCACAGTCGTCAGACGACAGGCTGCACAACTCAGTGACTGTTGAAGGAACACACACCTGACACGGACACGGAGAGCTCTTTACCGACGGTGGGGGTGGTGGCGGCACTCATGGAGTTTGTTGAGGAGATGGAGGAGGTGCTTTCGGCCCGTGCCAATGGGGCGATGGGAGGGGGGCTGGCAGAGTGGACCGGAGGACTGAACGGACGATTCTGAAAAGATAAAAAGATAGAGAAAGAAAAAAAGATATTTTAAGGCTTCATGTTTATGCATCTTATACACGTACCATTGCTTGTTAAGTTTTTGGTAAACACATTTAACCATCAAAAGTTGGGGGTTAGTCTCAGCTCTTATAGTTTAAAAAAAAAAAAAAAA